CCTGTCACGGGGTCCTGCGGGATCCTGGAGGATCCTGTAGGAGTCAGGTGGGACTTTCAAGGGATTTCTCAGGACTCCTGAAGACTCCCGTGGGGCTTTGAGTATTCTGAGGACTTTCGTTGGACTCCCGCAGGACTCGAAACCTCAACAGAAGTCCCACGGGAGTCTTCAGGAGTCCTGAGAAATCCCTTGAAAGTCCCACCTGACTCCTACAGGATCCTCCCGGATCCCGCAGGACCCCATGACAGGAGTCCCGTGGGAGTTTTGCCGGGAGTCTCGACTAGGGTTCGGATTTGTTCTGGCTATTACAGTTGAGCAAAAAATTAAAATCAAAGTTGTTTCTAGTGACACTGTGTATCCAATGACAAGTGAATCATACCTCTATTAGATGGAAAAATAGTATTACTTTCGACTTGCTGTCACCTGTTAGCGCCATCTACGAAGCAGATTTTTTCTAAACTACGTTTAGGATATAGTTCTATTAAAAATACTACAATGCTGTATTAGTCATTTTAGTTTTATATGAGCATGAGTTGCCTTTGGTTCTGGAGCTATAGATAATATATATAGTGATTTCAATGAAGAGAGCACTTTATCTTTTCATTGGTCTTGCATATAAACCAGTACTTTTTATCCCTATGTACAGACACACGAACACAATGTAAAAAAATCGCACGTTTACACCGTGCTAACCTGACGGTTTAAACGTCAAAATCTGACGCTTTTTTAAGCTCGACGTTTTATCCGTTCCAACTTGATACTTTTCCCAACCTGACGGTTAAAACGCCAGCATATCAAAAAATTAAAGTTGATTTAGAGTTACAGAAAAGTGCTTTTTCGTATTCAGCACACTTGATAACCTGGAAAATTTTCTATTTTTAGCAAGGACTACCGCCAAAAAATTCTGCGTCAATTTTTTTGAAAATTTTTCTTAACTTTTTGGCGGTATCCTTCGCTAAAAATATAAAATTTCCAGGTTATCAAGCGCAGAGGCGCAAATAACGAGAGGGTACGCATCCCCCGAATAACTGAAAAAGCTGTTGTTATTTTATCCATTACTCCTCACAATTTTTTTTTATCAATTTCACACTACCTCAGAGAAATTTTGGTTTACACCCACCCTAGTGTTCGGCTCCTATTTGCGGCTCTGATCAAGTGTGTTGAATACGATAAAGCACTTTTCTTTAACTCTAAACAAAGTTTAATTTTTTTTTTATCGGTGATATGGTCAACATGACGTTTTAACCGTTCGGTTACAAAAATGTCAGGTTGGTTGGAACGTTTCGAACCTGTATGATTTTGTATTGGGGAATGAAATAGCCAGTGGGCAGGGTTTGAGTTTGAAAAGACACACTTATAAGAGAATCAGCGATTTCCTCACATTTTACCTTGTGACATTCCTCAGGTTCTTCTTTGACATGTGTACTCTAAGGATCAGCGATTCGACAGATTGCTATTCTGTCTGGCACCTTGCGCAAAACGATCATCTCTACTTGACGATTAAGGTGATAGATTCCTCTGTTTTGCAACTGATTTCTTTGAACATTTCAAAAAAAGCTAAGTTAATATTTAGTTTGTGATTAACCATCTTCCTTGGGGCAGTATGCAACACATTACATCTACTGCTAACTTTCTATCCATTTTAATTGAAAAATCAAATTTTAGTTCCAATCTTTGCTCTTGTGAAGTTAATGATAAAACATTAAGCATAAAAGAAAGAATAATTCATTTTAAAATATTCGATGAGAGGTTGCACGACTTGACGGTTTAAGCGTCGGTTTTTGTTTTGTTTATTCAATCGCAGATGAGTCATCCGATCTAACGGAAAAATCATTATTTTGGCGTCAGGTTGGACTTGGATTTAAACAACGACTAGATGAGATTTCATTTCCTGTTTTCGTTTTTATCAGCCCTGCAACAAGTACCGAGATATTCACAAAAGTGGCGCTGTCTATAGTGTAGAATGTTGAATATCTCGATACTTGTAGCAGGGCTGATAAAAACGAAAACAGGAAATGAAATCTCATCTAGTCCTTGTTTAAATCTGAAACTTTCATCCAAGGATTTCATCGAAGAAATTCCCTTATACAGCAAATAATTATTCGACAGTCCATATACTATTTAGCTTCAAGGAGAGACTGTCTACATCAATTCGAATTGATCCTGGCTTCTTGGAGTTACTATTTGGAGCTAAAAGGAAACAACGATGAAATATTTGGAACTGTGTCACGAAAAATTACGGTTTAAACGTATGCAGTAACATTCCACAGCAAAAGTGATGTGTGTCTTTCTAAGCACAGTTTACAGATAAAAATATAAAGGGAGAGCGGTTACTTAAAATGTAAAGACTGGCAGCTGCGAGAGCGAATTTTTTTTTCAGATTATGGATGAAGTCAAGGAATTATTAATGGCAAATAATATTGATTACGTTAGAGCTGCTCTATACACGAAATCATTTGCTGAAAATTTAATAATAAATAGATTAATCCTCAAATTATTTGATGAGAATAGAAGAGAATTACATGAAAACTGGCTATCGAAGTATCATTAAAGAACTTGCTCATGGTTGTTCATTTGAAAATCAATAGTTAACGGTACGTAGTCAGAAAATTAATAATTGTATTTTGCAGCTATCACTAGACAATATTTAACTAAGAAATCCAGGTACTATAGCTAAAGTAAAGGATTTCAATTATGGTTTCCCACATCAAATATTTTTCGGAAAAAAAGCGTACTACTGCTCTCTTTAATTATTTTATAATCTGTTTGTGATTTCAGGCGGATTTAATCGTATCAAGCGTTTATTTTTGAAGAAACAGCTAAATATTTTTTTGCAACTTATCCGGATAAGGAAACTATCAGTTGATCATGGAAAAATTTGGCTTAATACAAAAAAGAAGATTTCGTCTGCAAATTGTAGATGAACTTGAAAATTACGGGTATGTTTTATTAGACTTCACGTTTAGGATTTCGATCAGGGCGAGAAAATTTTCTTATGTAACGTCAGTCTACAGAAAAAGTTATAGTGATCTAAATAGCATAAATGTTTTCTTTTCAGATATCGCTGAATTCTAATCAAAACAATGATTTAAATTCAACGAAAAAATCGAAAACTCAGTCAGTTCCGGCTGTCAGAGGATTAAGTTGAATCATGTTCAATAAGAAGGGACCGCATTGGAAAAAAACAAGTCGTTGAATATTAATGAGAGAAGCATGAAATATCATGAATTATTGGATCGAAGAGCGGTATGTAGGAAAAATCTTTTTGTATCCATCTGTTTGCTCTGTGAATGTGCCAGTGAATGAGAACAATATAAGTAGAATGAATGGCATTTCTGTGTTTTTCAAATCTGGCCTCAAAGCATAGTTTTTATTGCTACTTTATCAGAACCAAAGGTGTATCAATACTGTATGCTTACTGAATTGTAAACATACTTTGGTGTACATTTAGAGTTTTTGTTTGAATTTGCAGAATAAGAATATTCTATATTATAAATTTCGCCGTTATGGTGTTTTCTAGCATGAAAGTGAATGCACATTAACATTCCTGCAATCAGGAAAAATGGCGGATGATCCGATCAGGAACTAGAAAGTTTTTATTTTTTTAATTTCGAGTAAGCCGAAAGAGTATATGGATAAAAAACCTATACAAACGACATTTTCAGTATAAATCAACAAGCTACAAATCGTATCAGACTTTTGTATTTTATGCAGTTCATAAAAACCACTTAGAAGATATTTTTTGACAGGAGAGGAACTAACAGAAACGTGTTGGAAGAAAGAAAAAAATTCTTTATTTTAGAAGTGTTGCGTTGTCAAACAGATGTGTCCCAAGGGAAATATTGGTTTTTTAATATTTATACCGATTTTGGCCTTCAGAAGGTAGAACATTTTTCACTCTGCTAGCTCTAGTAAATTAATCGTTTTTGCCTCCATCACATCAGTTGCTTTCTGTTATAAACAAAATCTATATGAATTTGGTAGAATATATAGTGAGCTCTAATACAAAGAACTGTTACGATGATCGTTGATATAATTGACAGGGCTTCAACATTTCTTCTCTTTCTTTACCAAAAAGAAACTTTGTTAGATATATTTTTTAGTATTTATTTAAATAACTAAACAATGTTTATTTTCAAGACTTTTGATCTAGAAAAATTGTCATAAAAATAAAACTATTAATTTTCTAACGAAAAATTATACTTTTATTCCAACTGAGTGTTGTGAAAACAAAGAAGGGCAGGTACATCAGCTTTTTACCTCTAGTATGTTCACATTCTATGCGATTAGATGTTCTTAAAATGTCGTTATTAATATTGTTGACTATCTGATTTGTCTTACAAGGAAAATTTTGTGAGAGATCAAAAGTTTTTGTTGAATTAAACATAGATTTTCAGGAATAATTTTTGAAGTTGATTATAAATCTGATCCGTTTTCGGTGAATACCCAATTTTGCACTTCGATCCTTTCTGGATGGTAGTACAAATTCGAATCTCCAAAGACCCATCAAGAACTTTTCACTAAACAGATTCTGATCGATCCAGTTTGCAAAGTTCTTAGAATTGTCTATGTGAGAACGTTTCTGAAAGTAACAAACAAGTTTTGACAGAGTTATACAATTTTATAATACTAATCGTTCTGCTAAATATCCACATAATTTAATACTTAAGTAACAACCCATCATCCAACTCACTTTTGCATGCTGATCTAGAACATCCTATTTATTTTGAGAAAACAATTTATCGTGAATAAAACTCAGTATTTTTTTTTTGTTTCATTCCATCTTGTTTCTCAAAGTTTTAACATCGTTTTCTAAACCTTCTCAAACTGTAGCTATCTAGATTCAAAGACACCAATGCGAAACAGTAGTCGATACAAATAGGACTAAGCCACTTCCATCAAAATGGGACTTGCAATCTTCTTACGCGAGAAACGGCTCCATTTCATTTTTATATACATATTCAGACCATATTTTAAACATAAAACTCAGTGTCCGATCAACTACCACTCAGGGATATGTTTGGATGAGTAGTAGGAAAAAGTTCTGTTTGGTAATCAAAGAACTTTTATCAAATTTTAAAAGACAGCTGTTCTCAGAAGTTGACTACATCATCCTCGAACTTTTGAAAAAAGGCAAATGAAGTTTTAGCTGAGGAGAACATGAGACAGCCGAAAATTTTCTTATCGCTTTAAGGCAAGTCAGGTGGTCAATAATATTAATAACGATATTCTAAGAACATCTA